ATATATAAATATATATATATACACACACACACACAGTTAACATATTTTACACTTGTATTTTCTATTAGAAGTGTAAAAGGGGTAAATGAGGTACAATGGTGTACCTTTTGAAAGTGTATCACTTCAGTGACAGCAGTGACAGATATGAGAGTAAATAAAATATAGTTGCCTTTCAATTGGCAGTCGTATTGAGTTTACAAATCAATCATATATGCTATTGATTGCTATCAATCATGAAAACAGATGTCATTTAACACTATTCAACAGAACATTTAGGAAGAGGGCATGCAGTTATTTGTGTCTAAAGTCTCTCATTAAAATTTTTTTTTAATTGATTTGCTTCTCTATTTATTAGTGGATTAGTCACTATTACTCATAGTTAAGGGATTTCAACAAAACACTTAAAGGGACAGTTCACCCAAAATTCCCCCCAAAAACCACTGAAATGTTTTTCAAAATATCTGATTTTGTATCCCACAGAAAAACAAAATGCACGCAGATTTGGAATGGCATGAGTAAATTATGAAAGAAATTACCCTAGCAACCAACCACAAGACCTTAGCAACCGCATAGCAACACCCTAGAAACCTCTCAGAATACCTTATTAACCACATAGCAACATCCACAGGCAAACGCCACTCACATTTTTATCAGAAAATTCAAAACACTATAGTTTGTTTAATTTGATTGTATGTTATTGTCCTGCTAAATATTCCCTGTGCTAAAATTTCACGGTCGACATCTCTGTCTTGGAGATCTGGCACTCAGAAATATGTTTTCCCTGTCTCTCTCTTCCCTAAATCGCTGTCACTCTGCCTGTCTCCCACTCGCTTGGCTCCCTGCCGTAAGCAACATTTAAATGTGTCAGCCCTATTCTCAAATCCCTATGCTCAGAAACCAACAGCAATGACTTCCCCTTAATAGTTTCCTTCACTTTTATTTTATTCCCATCAAGCATAATTTGAATCATCATATGACTATGTGGGCTACATAAATCATGTTCAAAGAGCATCCACTTGTTTTTTACTATTTCATCTAATCTGTTCTGCAACTTTGTTTACAGACAT